ATTAATAGGTCCGAACGAATCGTTTGGGCACGATTCGCAACCTAACCTAACCGAAGTCACTGTCTCCGGACCAATTCGATATTGCATATAGTGGCCACGTAAAACGGGCACGATCGATTAACGATCTCCACGTCTCTCCCAATAAAAATTGGTAGGTTTTAACTTTTAAGGATATGCGTGCACTCACAGTGGTCTTCCAATGTACACCGAACGGTATTATTTATATAATATACCTCCATGATGTAGGTAGGCCCTGACGTGAAACGTTCATCGTGATCTTATAGTACTGTGTAAATATTTAAATATTTTGTCTGTCGATTGAAGTGCGTACAAATAAGTACAATAGCTAGGTAGTTTTCATATTTTTGTGTCGTTGATATCCAACGCAGAGTCATACGACTCCTCCTCCCGAAGAAAACTCGACAACAGCCGTTATTATTTTTGTTAATTACACGTCGTACCAGCTGTGTACCTTTGAACTAAATAATATTGTTATAATATTGTAGCCTGTAGGTACATCTATAATAATACTGCCTAAGCGTAATGTTGTGTATAATAATTTATAATATTATTATCTTTATTAAACAAGAGTTCAATTGTTCCAGCGCGACAAGGTTATTAGTTTACTCGGCTCGTTCATAAAGTGTATAATACTAAATATAATGAGGCCATTATTGTGCTCGGTATAATTTTCAATCTCGAGCCTTGCAAAAGCTGCAGGTATCGGGTTTCTTATTATGATTTTCTAAAAATAAAATTGTAGCCCAGCGTTATTGGAAAAAACTAATCACTTGCAGGTAAGACGCCGCCGCGTATAAAAATCATCGCGGACCATACTGAAAAAAATGTCGACTCAAAAAAATGCGTCGTATCTATTTCCCGTGTTCACAATGTACGCCTTTCATTTGTGCAGCCGAAATAGCGAACCTATTGAAAAATTATTGCTATCAATAAAAAGTTGTCCTGCAGTGCGTGTTATACGATCCACTCGTTTCAGTCGGACGTTTAATAATCTCAAAACCCGCGTGTGAAACTACCGTTTCCGAAAAAATCTTGTAATTGGAGTGGCGCGGTGCCTATAATATGAAAGTAGCATATCGTCAACGGACTACGAAAGTCCGAAATCGCCTATTATTGCGGTTAGTTATGGGAGGCAATTCCTTTTTTCGCCTCGTACATTATATTATTACCTACCTATATAGTATATACCCGTAAATATCGTTCTCGTTAAAACGATCTCGCGCGGTATAGGTTATTGGATTATTACAGGGTTTTTCGTGAACTATATACGACTGCGACCGAATAAATTGCGACAAACCGTCGAAATGAAGTGCACGTGATCCGTCCCGGTGCGTAATCGAAATTCAAAGTATTAAAAAGTCAGAACCTTGACGGACGTTTACGAAATACACGATAATATACTGGCGGATATATATAGGTATACTAGGTATAGGCACTTTTCCGGAACTGTTACACGCTCACGAATAATAATCTACTTGTAAACCGTCTCGGCGACAAGGTTTTAAGCTTTTAACAGAAGAATTTTATTTCATATAGGTTCGTACTATATATGTATAACAAATATTCGTGTACAAATATTGGGGAAGCAATAAAAAATATGACAAAAGTTGTGGATACCACGCCGTAATAGATTACAACCTAAGTTAGTTACACGTCGTTGATCACGCTCCATCGATTAAAATTCCGAACATTTTCCTTAAAAAAAAAAAAAACCTTTTTATTAAATCAAGTTTATATAGGTTTATATTCTTTAACTTTTTTAAGCCATTTGAATTTGCATTATTCCTCAATTACAAATTTGATTTATTATTTCACTGCAATTCGAATCTTACAAATATGCAAATTAAATACATGAGATATATAGCTGTAGGTATAGTAAATTGGATTTAAACTGTGTACCAGATCCGATAAGAAAATATATTATAGTCGTTTCAGCTGAACTTAATTTTATGGACTCGTAAATCAATGGTACAGTAACCAGGATATTATCATGCACTCATCGTGATCACAGTATTGAGTGTTTTACGTATGTTCTCTGTTTATGAATCCAAACCAAAAATGCATTATAATAGTCTCAGCGTACCTATCGTAAGATAAATAATAACATATAATCACATTCAAAATGTAATAATAATTTGTGATGGACATTTTTCAAATTTGATATTCTATCGGTTGTTTGCCAATGTGTTTCCATCGGTTACTTAATTGTTAACTCGATTGGAGTAATAATCTCCTCTCGAGATCAATTTGGGTCGTATGCGGGTTTTTGAGTTGAGGACTTTTAAACATATATTTTATGTACGGGTGTTAAGGTGCAAAGCTTTGGCACGATGAAAACGGGATTTTATTTTTGATTAAAATCCGTGATTTTGTGCGTTTGATACTTTGATGGTATCAAACGGTTTACCGTTTTGGTCACCACAGTTCAACGCTTGGACCGCGAGTGAGCACTTATACTACGGTGTTTCGGATGCCTATACAAATACGACAACAGACGTTACGATAATGTTGTCGGTTCGTTGGCTAACTGTAATTCCACAGCTTTGCAATATTATATTATTTGCTATACTTAAGCGATGTATATTTGCTCAGTGGACTATATACAATATATGTAGGTATTTGTCGTGTGCTGCTAATTAGAGGGACGTTTAATACGGAGATCCGAGATTACGGATCAATTGTACATCAGTACTTATATGGACATATATGTGTAATTATATATGGCAAACGAACGAGGTTTGGTGGTGTGTTTCGTTAAATGTATATTTCTACACGGGTTGGTTCGCAGTCCGGACGCCCACGTATACACGAGTGAAAACTCATATCTAAGTACGGACACAAAATATAAACTTTATATCATTTGATTAGGAGTAATAAAATAGTGTAACTCGAGGAGAACATTAAATGGAATTCCAAAGTTAAATTATTTATTTCGAGTCTTACGCTATATATAATTAAGGGTAATTAACTATTAAGGTGTGTTGTTTAATAAGTTTATGAAGAAGGACATTAGCAATGGTGTGTATACAATACGCATAGATTTGATTCGAGTTATATATAAAGTTCTTGGATTCCGAATTCGCTTGGCCGTAATGCTCGTGTAGGTCGTATAATGTTTAATAATATATTATGTGCCGGCAGTAGACGTGAAATTGAGTTGGACCGTTAAAACGAAAACAAACGTCGGAAAAAGTATACTGCGCGTTTCAATTATGTTTATTCTAAAAGGAACGTCATAGGTAATATTTTTTTTTTTATAGAATCAGAGTTCTTAAAAAAAAAAAAAACGGTAGGTACCCGTTCCAATGATGATTTTTTCGAGCAATACCGCCGTAATAGTATGTAAGTTCTAAGTAGCTATAAGTTCTAATAATGTATATATAATATAATGGCAGTAACGAAAATGACACTGAAAAAAAGTAATAGTCTACTGATGACGTAATAACTTTAGTCTGTATTACATTTTAGATTCTGAGCGCAGTGAGAGGGATCTAGTGGTTTTACAATGGTGTTTATTTATTTTTTTTTATCCTGTATACAAAATTTCTACCAGAAGGAGTACTTGAATTTCAACATATAGTACCTACATTATCTTTAATACAATTGGATCAAAATGGTACTTTGGAGAGGTCATTTTTCGATTTTATCAATAAACTATTTAATGCCACGGGAAAAACCCCATCGACATATTATTAAAAAAAACCTCTGAAAAGGGATTTTAATTTCTAACGCTTTGTTTATCACTATAGAAACGAATAAAAATAACAATTTTAGTTATTTTGTTGTAATTTATAATAAAATATAATATCAATATAAAATATCTAGACTGACAAACCGTCTCAGAATCGTTTTTCATATACAATGATATGATATCATTGAATTCAAATTTAATACAATCGATAGATCTCGCTAGAGAGCGTTCTGTGCTTTACGGCGGCCCGGTGTCGTAGCACAGAGTGAACAGAGAGATATATATTATACAGGATTACAGGAAAACGGACGATATTTTGATTTTTACATGCAACGTACCCATGGAGAACGGTCGAATTTACTAGTTTTTCGCTTTCGCAATACCGCGTTGAGTTGTGACGATATGCGCATGCGTGAGTGCGTGACCTTGGTTGCACGGCGGCGCGGCAGTGTGGTATACGCCACGGACTAAGATAAACAGGACTGGAAACTATAGACGGGAGGAGTGCGGGTAGCCGGAACCATAGTGTAACGCTTGTAGTACATGGACAAATGTGGCTCTATCTATTGATATATTTAGCATTTGTTACACATATATTTATTTGCATATATTTTTTTGTTTTATAATGTGGGGCGACAATCCAAAACGTACTATTGCCAAAATTGAAGAAATTGAGTTACATAATGATTCTTATAGAAATTAAGGCAGGGAATCGAATAGTGCAATCAAATTGTGACAAAACGTACCTACTATTTCCCTTGTTAAAATCAATCTGAAACTCATAAATGATGCAAAACGCACTATTTCCAAAGCCAAAATTTGTCTAAATGCACTATTTCCAAAATTACGTCAAAACGTAGTATTGTCAATGTTAAATAGTTTGTTTATTGACAAATTGACGCAAAACGTACCAATTCCTCGAATTGTACAAAACGTACAATTTCCAAAGTAGGCTCATATGTACTATTTCCTAGTCTGAAGATAGGGAAATATAATTGAATTGAATAAATAACGTACTATTTCCAAAATCGTGGAAAAATAGAAAATCGTGATTTCTCAAAAAAGTGTAAAATGGAAATAGTACGTTTTATATTGTCGACCCACAATTAGGTACAATAGTTTAATACATTTATACCACGGACTAAGATAAACCTAAGATAACTCTATTGTGAACTATCTTAGTCCGTGATTTATGCGCACCTATTAGCTCTTAGGTAATTCTGCAGCTCCCACTAAAATTTGCCCTAAAATTACAAAGAGACACTTGATTATTGACAATTTTTCAAAAATGTCTGTGAGGTTAGCTACTCAGGTAAGTAGTAATAATAACAAAATATTATTAATAATATTTGATAATAAACTTTTGTTTAATATTTATTATAATTTTAGGTTCTTAGTGATTCGATGGCTAAGGGTATCATATTTTATCGAGACCATGAAGGCATTGAATCATTAAAAGATAGCCACGAAACACAACAATTTGTAGAAATTTTTAATAAAACATTCGATGCACTCAATCGCAAATACCCAGCTGAAGGAATCAGAATTAATAGTCATGATTTTGATGTTTGTTTATTTATCTACAATTTAATATTTAAATATGTATAACTAACTGCATGATTATTCATAAATCATAGGTCCTAAATGAAACATACACCTGGATAAATTTATGGGAAAGTAATGTTAAGCATAAATTAATTCCAGAAGAAGAATATCTGACAAAAAATACAGCTGAGGGATTAAGAGTTAATAGATCTACCATAGAGTTATCTACATATCTTTTAAAAGAATGTGGATTTAAAATACGTTTTATCCTCAAAAATGATCAGATCGCTTAGAAGTAAGGGTAATTATTTAAAATAAAATACATCATTGTATAATTTATTTTCCCCATAGCTATTTTTTGGAATGACACGTCAAGCAACAGGACCGAATGATCATCCAACAACTCCTACATTTTTGCAAGTCTATAAAATGCTTTCCATATACTCAATTTTAAAACCCCCAAAAACTGGAAACTGCAAAATTTTGGAAAAAAATACACCAAAAATTACAATAGATGATATAAAAAGTATTTTTGTTGAAGATAGTGCTAAGAAATCTGAGAAAATGTTAAAATTACAAAATAAACTGGATAGCTTACTTACAACTGGAGAGTTGGAAGTTGAAGATGTTTTTGAAAATGACATACATAATTATTGTACTCCATATAAATCTCAAGTTTCAGATTGTGTAATATATTACATTAGTGGTTTTGTTTGTAAGCATATTCTAAAACATACAAAATGTGTTGTATGTATAAATGCAATTAAAGGTTAGTATACATTTTTATAATTGTTTAATATCTAACTTAAAATAAGTCAAATGTAAAAATGTATCGTTCCATTTTTGTGTATTAATTAGCTAATTAAAATATTTCTAGGAAAAACGTATTCAAGCAAATCTGAAGCAGCTTTTACTAACCTTAAATCAAAGGTAAAATTAATTCATCCTAATGAACATTTTTATAGATTAATTGTAGCCATAGAAAATTCTTTTTCAAAAAATTGTAATAAGATGTCAGTATTTGAGGACACTTTTGATGATGTTCTGGATAATAACGCCGGATTATTAATATTTCCTTGTAGTGAACATAAAAATGAAATTTTAATGTTTATCCTCAAGTACTATATTACAACAAGAATGCGACAATATTCCAATATGGAAAATAAAAACCAACAAAAAATAAATTCAAAGAAAAAGAAGTCTGCTAAATTAGTTATTACTTAAGTCTTAATTGCTTTTAATTTAAAATTATTTTCAACAATAATTTAAAATTGAATCAATACAGTGTATACTATGTACTTTAAACAACAAATTTATTTCAGTTAGATATATAAGCAAAGATTATTAAAGAATTAATAAAAACTTACAAGTTACAAGGATATATTTATTTTTTTTTTTTATACTGTAACGAATAATGGTGATCTACACTGATGTATTAATATTTCGTAGAATGGATCATAGATGGCGTTAAAATCGCCCTTGTACTAGAAGCGTTACACTGTAGTTCCATAGATGACTATCTCGTTTCCAGTCCTGTTTATCTTAGTCCGTGGTATACGCGCAACGCGCTTCCTACTCCTATAGTCCTATCCTATTACTATTTCATTTGCTCGCTAGCCGCCTTGCTGCAGGTTGTGTGTAGCCATATATGTCCGTCCGTTCGATTATTAGTTATTACTTATTACTTATTACTATCCGTACGGCGTACATTATTACAATAACAGTGATAAACGTACCGACGGTCGGCCGTATGTTAATCTTTCTCTGCTGTCTCGCGGAGTCCGTATTTTATGCAAGTACTGCATAAACTACTAATTAAAAGACCATGGCCGAACAATTCAAAAAATGCCTCACATATTAGTATTAGAAGAGAAATAATATATAATTATAGAATAGATTATCAATATAGAATTAATGTCTCTTGCTTCAGAAAAATAGCTGAAATCTCCAAAAAAAAACTTCGGAGAAGTAAAACAAGTCGTCTGTGCTTTACTTAAATGGATTGGAGTACTTGAATTTTGAGGTAAATAAAGAATTGAAATCAATATCAAAATTCTGTGCTTAGTAGGTGCAAGAGAGAGTATAAAGAAAGTTCCTGTTAAAATTGTGGTAAATAAAGAAGTGAAATCAAACCTCAAAATTCTGTGCTAAAACTTAATTGACTATTGAAGAAAATTCGATGACATGCAATTTTACCACATTTTTAGCTACAAAAAAAAATTGCACAAAGTGCATCCATGGACATGTGAATTTTTGCAGGCAAATGTGAAACGTTCTGTGCAATTTTTTTTTGTAGCTAAAAATGTGGTAAAATTGCAGCATGTCATCGAATTTTCTTCAATAGTCAATTAAGTTTTAGCACAGAATTTTGAGGTTTGATTTCACTTCTTTATTTACCACAATTTTAACAGGGACTTTCTTTATACTCTCTCTTGCCCCTACTAAGCACAGAATTTTGATATTGATTTCAATTCTTTATTTACCTCAAAATTCAAGTACTCCAATCCATTTAAGTAAGGCACAGGAGACTTGTTTTACTTCTCCGAAGTTTTTTTTTGGAGATCCGTTATACAGTGACCCACTTGTAGCCTACTGTACAGCAGAGCGATATCCACTTACCAGCTTTTTTTTTTTATTCTAAATATAATTTATAAAATAATCAATAATCATATTAATAACATTTAAAAAAAAATGTATTAATAGATTACTATTAGGTACCTACAACACAGTTCATCAGTCAGTTATATTTCTGTTAACTCTGTTTATGATGTACCTATATGGCTGTATAATATTATTATTAAACTATTACAATTCGGAGAAATTGTGGTAGGTACTTGCTGTGATTCATATTTCGTTTTTTTTAGGGCGAGACAATAACAATAATAATATTATATATCCCTAATTTTATATTTCCTTTAAGCTGCAACTGTTTCATCATTTTATCATCGTTTGTTTTTGTGCGTCTTTGCGAACATCGTTCTCAGAGCTATTCTCCCTTTTGGTTTTGCTCTTTCGTCCGTTCCTTAAGTTATTTCCATTGGACTTGTTTTCGCTACGATTTACGTTTTTACTTAAATAATATAATACGGAATGTTACTCGCACTGTAACTGCAGTACTAATAACGATCTTATTAATTTATTCATCGTTCTACGGAATGTTTCAAATTAATTTTATTGACTATTTAAAGTGTTCTCAGCTTTTCTTTAAGTATATTTTATACATTTGATGATACTGACGTTAAACAGCAGTCGTGCCGTGTTTGTACAAACAATATTTTATTAATATAAATATCCACAGGAGTTCAAACTCATACTAGTGCGTCAATGCGGGATCCGTATTTTCTCTTGTATAGGAGGCTCGTAACCAATGTTTTTTTTTATAATTTATGCACTTTTATAGAACATATAATATGAAGAATATCTGAATGTGTTGATTCGGATAAGTTATATACTTTATAATAGCTTTATATTAAGTTAATAGTATTTTGTATTGATGACCTCGCTTGCCCGTAATATTTTCGATAAATGATGGAATAGGTAATATTATTATAAGTACCTACCTAGGTAGAGTTCTCATAACGTTTGATTTTGTTTTTTTTTCTATAAAATCATATCAGCATTTTAATAAACGTTATAATAATATGTACCTACTACCTACGCACCAATATACAATATGATACTGCGTATTGATATTTACATTATTCTATGGTTTGGATGCCGCGTTAATTTTATGTACATTAATATTTAATGTAAAAATCAGTAGTTAATATTCCAAAACTTAATTATTCATTTTATAAAGTAAGTATTTAAAATGTGATTAAATAATTTGAACAAATGTAATTTTATAACTGATTAACTGAATTGAAATTGCAGTTATATCAAAGTTAATTGACATTTAAACGGACCACGTATAATCTGACAATCAAATAAAACACGAAAGTCGCCAGATATTTTGTCGGTGATATTCCGAACGAGTGGTAAATAATTATTTGTTGTAAAATATCAGAAAACCACGCTTTGCAGGACAAATTGGCCAGAAAATAATTTATCGAGTGTTAATCGAGGTATCGGGTTCTAATAGAGCAAAATTGATCGGGTATTAATAGAGTAAAATGCTAAAACGTATATGGATATTACACTTGATTATACATGCGTGCATTCTCGAGAATCATACGGGACTTTATAGGTGAAAATGTGAAATATATCCGTCTATAGTTTTTAAAAACGAGTTTCGGACTTAGGTCAATCCTGCAGTTAACCGGTAAAATTATTTCGGGGCATTTAAATTGATCCATAACTTAGTGACGATCTAGTAGAGATGTTCAAAACTTTAAAACTTTATCAACTTATTGGATTTGAATATTGTCTGTATGGCAAATAACTTTAATATTATTACCCTAATATGATGAACTGAACCTTATCCCTGACGGCTAGCACGGTCGTTCGAATAAGTTGCCATTTGCATTTAGATACCACTAACTGAAGGAGGTTTTCTCAAAGAGAATAATATAAGTAGATACCTAACTTTTTTTAGATTTAGTTATATTTTACTGGCTTGTTTTATCGTTCAAAACATAGAAGTTTTTTTTGTTATTTTCAAATGTATATATTTTTAAGTTAAATTTGAATTGCCTTTTTATATATTATTTTTTTAAACTGATATGAATACATTTTGAGTATGATTGAGTATAATTAATGTTTGTTATTTACTTTTTAATAATATTTACCTGGTCTAATTGTATTATTAATTGGAAATCAATGTGACAATGTATAATTAAAAATGCAATAATTTTTTTAGAACTTTTTATGGCATTAAACATAATAATAATATTCGTTTGGTTTGTTTGAATGTTTACAAAATATAAATTTATTGGGAAGCGATAAGGATAACTACTACTAATTTCAACTTTATTAAAAATGATGTTAAAAAATTTGATATCCAGGTACCGTAACATTCAATTTCATTAAATGTTTTTAAAATATGTACAGTCGTATCGTACTGTTTGATTCGTCGATTTAATTTAGATAGCCTCAAAAATTGTGTCGGAAACGATTTTCACAAACATATTTACATTTTTAACATGGATAATATCTGACGTAAAGTAACACGGTCAGTGAACACGTGACTTATTATTATTAATATTTATCATCGTCGTCGTTATTGATTTATATCATGATGTACCTGATGTATGATAATAACAATACAATATTGTTCGGTATATGTATAGCATTTAAAACAATAGTTATTATAGTCTTGAACTTTTTAATCGATTAACAAAGGAAAATGGGAGAT